CTTTATGTATCACATACACAAAAAAGTGCTTGTTACTTCATTATTTTTAAAATGAGTTTGAATTTTTCAGTGGTTTTATGTTCTGAAATATGACATTGTAAACCTGTTTTATCAAAAAGGATTGATAAGGTGATAATTCGAGAGGATATATCATCCTGAAATAGATTTATTTCATTTCAATTTGCAGAATATATCCTTTCAGTTGTAGATTTGATACTATTCTCTGCATACAAACGTAAATTTTTATCATGATTTTATCACAAATTCATGTGCCAGTATTTTTATTGTATATTTGAATCTCTTAAAACAAAATTAAGTCAAAATGTTTAGGTATCTTCTCGATGCTGGTACTTCCAAAACCAAAAGCATTTAATTACCATTAAGCTGCAATATTTGTTTTCATGCCATTCATTCAGATCACATGAGAGTGTATTATTTTTAACAATGAAAAGAAAAGTACAGTAATGAGGACTCAGAAAACAAAACAAATTGCGAGTTTTCTGTAAACATTTAGCGATATAGCATAATCATAAAGAACTTATCACCAGGCAAAGGGAGATAACACTATCTCTTATCGGGACGATTTAAGAAAATCTATAATTTATAATGAGATGATAAGCAATATATTTCTTATATACAGGTAGATGTAGTTACCTCTCAGAATGTTGTACATCACGAAAGTGCGTCCTTCTAAAACAGCTAAAAAACATGATAGTCCTTTTTTAGGAATTCATCAGACAAGACAAAAATAAGCGATAATCAGACAAAGCCAACAGATTGCGGCATCCTCTATTTTTGACAAGATAAATACGTGCACGTGGTTTCTTATTGTGGGCGAGGTATTGTTTTAGCCAAAACAGGATGTCCGATTTCACTGACCATTGCACTATGGCCGGGTTTTGTTTCTTTCGCTGACGTCATAGCTACATGTTTTATCAGCTGTGCCACTTAAGCGTAAAGATTACTGAAAACAGAACAGCTTGGGAGGCTTTCATTGTGGTTTCATAAGACTTCATCCCACCTGGATGTTTTACAACAATTCAACATATTCTGATAACATTTTGTTATATGTATGTCTACAATGCGCAATATAAGTGTAGATGGTTCATACGGAGTGCTTTTGGTTCAAAGTTATGTAGCAGTTTTTTGTAATGGAGGAGTAACCATAATTGTATTCAGTTCCAATCAATGTCATTGTATTTAATATTCCAAACGCACGGATATTGATACCAAATATAGAAATTTGAATTATATTTATCATTCCATGAAACCCTCTGGAAGATTGAAAAAAGTCTAGAGCACAACAATTGTCCACCGTTCATGTGAAAAATCACTATGACGTAATACTTTGTTTCGAAATCAGATTTGCTACTATGTTTTCTTTTGAATATTACAAATGTTTGGGCGGAATAATTTTATTCTAAAGTCTTATTCCTTATAAATGTTGAAGGCGATTCATATGAATAATGCTTTTGGTGATGTTTTGCCCTCTGTTAGTCAGTTTTCTACTATGATTTGCTCGATTCTCTTGTTGATTCAAGGAAAGCCTACTATATGTTATATCTATCGTAAATAGTTCGACATATTGTATTTTCCTTTTCTTTGTAGTAATTGGTATACATATTTAAAAGAATTACCAGAAATAATTGCAGGATCCAATGTTTGCTTTTTATGCTAATTTGATTATGTGGTTGAGTCTCCAGATTTGTTCAGTTGCCAATCGATGTCACCAGTACATAATATAAATGTGAAGTAATGTATACGTTTATTGGAAAGCTTTTGGTTTCACAACTTATTAGGAGAAAAACAAAAGCTTTCCCGTTTCTTTAGTAAGATTGTGGTACCTTAATCATTACTATTAATTACTATAAATGTAGTATAATGAATAAATATTTGATGTAATCTGTTATTAGGTAAGTATTAAACGGGAATCAACTTATCAAGTAGATGTTTGAATGAAATGATTTCTAGAGTTAACAATTTTTTAAGATGATCTCTAATACATTATTATCTTAAGGCTGCATGTATTAGACATTGAAAAGAATACTATCAGAATATTGTTGAAATTTATTTGTTTTAAATCCTTTACTTTACTTACATAGATATATTGTGTACATTATCAGACCAAGAAGATTTATACAAAAAAAATTGTGTTTGTTTAATATTAGTAATTGAAATGGTCGATCTTGGGAGAATATTTGTCCACTCAAAACCCTATTCGATCAGAGGAAATCTATCCAATCAAAAGCCTGTTCGATCATAGGAGAAAATACGTCCAATCAAAAGCCTGTTCGATCATAGGAGAAAATAAGTCCAATAAGAAAATCTGGCTAATCAAAAGCAACATGTTGGCTTCAGCCAGATAAAGTAAGCTATAATGAAAATTCTATTGATGCGTTTGTGTTGTAGAGGGGACCAAAACGTTTTTGGAAAGTAACCCTGCGGCAGAAATTCTAAAACGAAGTTTATCTAAAAATCTAGATAGTTATACTGAGTAATTTCAATCCAATTATAAAAAACATTGTTCTCTCTTGTTGTCTTTTGTTATTTAGTGAATGATACAAGAGGTAAGGCAGACTTCTGGATTACTTGATTGTCGTTAATTAAAAAAAACAAAGAAGGCAGGTGTAACGTATGACTGCTAAATACCCTTGGGAGAGTGGGTATTTTCGTTAATTGGATAAATACGTATGTACATTGAACGGATACAATCAACAATGCCAAGTCTCTCGGCTGCAGTAATGAGAACATGAGACATTTTTTATCCCCCGCTTTCGCTTTCACCGGACGTTTGTCCTTTCGCCTGTCCGTCCATCTGTCTGTCACACATTCGTTTCCTTGTTCTAACTTCCCCAAATATCATCCAATTTTGGTGAAACGTGGTCAGCAAATGCATCATGGGGTCATTATCAGTGCCATCTGTTAATGAGTATGCATACTAATGAGGTATCCTTTGATTTCCTTAGTCGATTCATTTTCGTGCTCTAACGTCCCTAAATATAATCCGATTTAGACGAAACTTGGTCAGCAGATGCACATTAGGGCATATACGACTGCGTTCAGCAATCAGCATCATCTATTAATATCTATGCACACTAATTAGGTATCTTTTCCTTTCTTTGGTCGGTCAATTTTTGTGCTCTAACTTTCCTAAATATAATCTGATTTAGATGTAACTTGAAGTCCCACAAATATTATCAGTTTATCATTAAACAAATCATTCTACATAGCATTATGACATGTTTACTCCTAACCTCTAAAATATTTACTTAAAATATGTTTGTAAAGCGGGGAATATAAATTCCATGAATTTGCTTGTTGTATATAAATCAATGCTTAATGTTGTGTTTAATGAATACTCGTTATTGATTTATATTCTAAATAAATTTATTGTGTATTTTTTAACTTGTATTTCAACCTGATCACTTATGTGTCAATCATACTCAGCCCATGACTATCAACTTTAGTACTTATGTATTTGTCTTTTCTGTTTCAGTTTTTCGTCCAACAGGATCTGACCGTTATTTGATAACCCGAACATGATCTATCCCTGTTGTTTCTCCATAAGTCACTTTAGTTGTAAGGCTAGAATATGGACAAATATCTATTGATTAATAACGAATGTTAACGTTTCATGTGTCTTGTGACGTCCTGTAGTTATGTTATAACGTTATATACACAATTGTTCTTCTGGTTCCAGAATATTTGCAAAGTCAAAACAGTAAATTCCAATGAAAGATTTATTCTGCAAAATATGTTTAGTCTTAAAGTGAAATATTCTTTGAATTAATAAAGAATATATTATTATATCAATGAATAAAATTGTAACTTGACGTAATCCTACAGTGTTGACCACAGCAATGTTTGATGTGTGTTAATATACAGGGAGATAACTCTAATGTCGGTTATCCTGTCACTTGATATCTTCATCATCTTTTTAAATATGGTTTAACGAGATTATGTCTCCACTAAAGTACCATTTCCGACTTAAGGACCCTACGATAATCATTGTTAACACATTTGGTAAGGGGGGCAACTCTACTTAATGTATCATTTCAAAAATTTTGAAAGGTAGGCTCCTAGGCGTCTGAAGCACCGAGAGTTTCGGTCTTACTGACTTTGCTTAAGATCTTGCATGGGTTTTCATTTCGTATATAATTTTATGAAGCAAGTCTTGAAATTTTGATTTTTTTGAGTCCTGACAAGACACCTTTAGATACAATCAAATATACAACAAGTTGGCAAGTGATGTAGTCAAAGTGAGCAGAAAAATCGAACGGTGACAACTAATTTGTTCCGACACAATCAATTTATGGCGTAATGTTATTTTGTATTTTATATCACAATTGATCTCTGACTGGCACAGGCAATGGAATATGCCCCCACGGATTACCATTGTTTCCCCATTCCATATATATTACATTAATGTGTGAAATCGTCGAATATTGAATTAAAACATTAATTAAACTAAAATATTATTTTTATAACGGAATAGAGTCTTCAATAACCTTCCACCAATAGAGCATACTATATCAAAACCTAAACGCTGTCTCAACTTTGAAGTTCCTCGATTCTATTGGTCAACATATATATAGATGATCGCCAGATAGGGTCATGAAAGAGACTCTGCCCTCATAAATGAGAGTGTCCATCAATATTTATGTAGACTGTAAGTAAATACCAAAAGGCATGTATTTGCTACATTCACTATATTCAACTGTTGGAATTATCCTATCTAATAATGGTATGTCTTTACTACATTAATAGGTACTGTTCTGGGTGTCGTGGTGGTCTAGTGATTAAGCTGTCGGACTGTCTTTATCAGTTGCCGTCGACATCTGGATCGCAGGTTCGAAAGCTAAGTGGGGCGATTTTAAGGTATTAGCAGCAGGTCGTCGGTTTTCCTCCGGGAACTCCGGCTTTCCCCTACCACCCAAACCTGGCACCTCCTTAAAAGACCCTGGCTGTTAATAGGACGTAAAACAAGAAAAACCAAATCAAACAGGTACTTTTTCTGCTTTAATATGTATATATTTACATTTATCAAGACATCATTTGTGTACATTTTTACAGAACCCTTCTGCTAAGCACGTTGTTGATTTTTATGATCACTTTGTTTATATACCTATATTTACGTAAAAATAGCTAAACAAATCTTATGTTTCACCTGTTGTGCAATATATGGCGTTAAATAATGTTTCCAGGACCATGAATCCCGAACTTATAACAATTGATATTATCCTATCCAGTCACTGCTTTATATCTGCATTTGTTGTACAGCATTTCTGAACTATCAACTTCTGTATACTTACTATACATGTACATATCCTTCACTTTTGATATAAATTAACAACCATTTCTCTGTATATTTAATATATGCTATAAAACACTAAAGTTTTTATAATGTTTTGGTTTTAACAAAGTTTCTATGTTGCTTTATAATTGCACCATATCATTTCCGTTTTACGATGTATCAGGTCTTGCTGTGTATTTGTTCAAAATCATTTCTTTGTGACAATATTAGTCACTCAATAATACCTGACAGTAAATAGCCTTGAAACGATAAATAAAAACCAAAACAAAGTGAACTATTTGCACCAGTATATATTCTACAAGTTGAATATCTATGATTTATCAAAATATACAAACATATCACAAACCAATGACCTCTTAGGTGGGTCTAAACTCGTGTGTTTATTAGGAGACCAAGGAGATCAATACTGTATTGTGACGAACCATTCTCATTTGTAGGTTGCCAGCCTTCCTGACATTGAACTCTTCTTCGAGGGCAATGTCATTTAAGAGTTTTAATCTATTGGACTTACAGCATTAACGATAGAAGATTTTCCGGTCATCAATAATGTTATATATAGAACTACACAACATTTAAAATTGCATTTCATTATATATTGTGTATCGGTTACACCCATATCGTTTTGATATATTCTTACATTTACGCCAGTTTATCAACATTACATTAGACACAAACCTTTATCAAATTTTCAAAATGAAGCGATGTTCCCAAAACTAATAGTATACAAATCCACAAATGAAAATATGTTTTAGTTATACGTTATTTTAAAATGATAGAATTTATACAGCTGTGTTTGTAAACAATACATTTCAATACAACATATTTTCGTAAACATTGTTTATAAGACATAACCAACCACTTCCGCCCTCTTGCCACAGAAATGTTTCAAAATAACATGTGTCAAAACGGACAAAACGTAATTTATCTAAATTACAATACTTTTTAAAAAATATAAATTCGTTCAGCATCATCTGATGTCTTAATTTGATACGAATACTCGAACTGTTCAACAACACTAACCAGTTGTTAAGTATGATTAACATATAAATAAAACAATGAATGTTTCAGCAACAGTTTTGCTAAGTTCATTACAGGAAACATTTCCGATGAACACGCGACTTTTTCAGTGTAATTATACAATTCAATACAACATGACCATAATATTGCCACGTAAACGTAATTTTGTTTTACTTCTACTGGTGTAATTTATGCAACAAAAAGGTTTGTATTTCCACATTGAAGGCCACACCAGTAATCGAACCAACGGAAGATATTTAAGGTAGGCCCCTTCATATTCACAGTGTGTATATGTCAATGAACGTTGAAACAAATAGTGCTTTGCCAAATTACAGATCTTACTATATCATATATCAGTTGATGCATGGATACACTGTCTACAAAATTGTTGTAACCCAATGAATTGCATATTCTTATAAAAAAAAACTACAAAACTACAAGCATTGGTTTCAAATGGCTGGTATGCTGTAGTTTAACTGGTCCCGACTGTACAGCTGTTGTGTCACGCAAAAGTTGTTCTAATTTGAATTCTACTTCTATCATAGGGGTAACATTTATTTTCATTAAGACAATGTTACTGACATGTAAGTTTAATTAAAACGTATTGCTTGAGTATTGTATTACTAAACAAATGTACAATAAAACCCTCTCAACTGAACGATCACAGATAAAACAATTCCTTTATTTAATTGCAATTCTTGCAAACTCTCTTATGGTTGATGTGATGAAATATAGATATATATACTTATCACGATTGCCTTATTATTCAGTGGATGTACCCTTGTCATATATCAATATATTATAAATGTGTAATATACCTTGTTGTGACGTCACTTGACGTAATAAAATTACATTACATATTCACACATGGCATGTCACGTGACAATGGAGACCATAGATATTGACTTCAGATGTGACAAAGAAGTGTCTTATTTCTGCCTATTTGTTTGAAAAATCGACAATGTGATTAAAAAATGCCTTAAATAAGTTTCCAGTTGAAACGTGATGTATAAAACTCACTTAAATAAAGAAAGTTTTATGTTCGTTTGGTATTGTAATGTAGATAATGGAAACTTAGGCAAGATCGTATATATATCTACAGTTAGTAGTTCCATTAGCTATGTATTTTATTTTACATAATACTTGACATTGGGCACACCACGTAAAACCTGGTCTCATCTTGAACTACACTTTGTTAAAACATTGTATTTTCATCGACAAAATTGTATGATTTTCCTACTAAATGCTGCAATTATCAGTTATTATCTATTTTCTCGATTCTACCATTTTATTAATTATATTTCAAATGGGTCCCTAAGGGCGAAATTCTGTACAAAAGATTTTTTCCTAGCAGTTAGATATCAAGTGCTTTCAAGTTTGCTGATTGAGGCGTTAACAATCCAATGTTTACTTTTTAAGTCTTAATTGTTTTCATCGTGTTAAATGTCTACATACGATAAAGCGATAGACGTGTGGCAAAGACTAACAGGTTGAGGAAATTAGGTAAAAAAATATAAATAAGTAAGTTCATTTGATATTTTTATCTGCTGGCGTTCCTTGAAGTATCATCAAATTTCTTCTTTAAAAACAGTCATATCACGACAAGAAAAGCAAGAGAAACGACAATCCCGAAAACGCTTGTCTAGTCTCCGTGGTTATTTACACTTGTTCGTGCATATAAGATACAAAGCATGTGCCAAAATGATAGGAAGCAACAGTTTACATACAAAGATATAGGTCACATTGGGCTCTAGTTTCCATAAGATTTTACATTCTGTGTAAGCAGATATGTCATATACAGAATACTGAAGTCTATAGGTCTATGACGGCGTACTTAATTAGGTTTACAATCTAACTGCGGTCGAAATAATCAATGTTGTTTGTATACGTTTGAAACGTCCAAATTATGAATAAAAATATTCCGACCATGAAGAAATGTTGACGAAATGTAAACTACAACATCAAAAATATAAAGTTTTTCAGACTCGCTCACTCCCTTAAGGCACTGAACTGATCTACCCAGTCAACACTAACAATGTAAATATAAAAGTGTTTATGATACAATATACATATTAAACGCTCTACCTCTCATCATTAGCACTATATACAGCTTGCTGAAACGATCTGTCCAATTTGGTTGTCAACTGTAAATACATAACAGCACCTGCATCTTCCATTCCATGTCTATCACAAAACTCCTATAGTTGACTTCAGCGCTGAGACGTTTTGCTGTAATTTCGTTTTCCAGCCTTTCGACTTCCACGTCCGAATAAACGACTCAATAGATCGAATGGTCCCTTAAATGACATTCTAGAGATACTGGATTTCTTCGACTCAACAGCTAAAACAGGTTCCGGAAGTGATGGGTTGAGTTTAAATCTGATCTGACTGAGCATGCCTACCAACAGTTCATCAACGTGATGGTTCAGAGCAGCGGACGTTTCAGTGTATTTGGCGTCGTATTGTAAGGCGACAGAGAGAGCCTCTGAAATCAGAATGAAAATAAGACAAAACGTAAAACAGTTTGTAACTATGAAGATACTTTACTACATTAATCACTGAAATAGTAATCAGCTGTTTTACGGATGTGCTCAAGTGCTTTGCAAGATTTCCTTTTCTTTTCCTTCAACCAATTCTTAATTCTGTTTCTTCTGCTTGAAATAAAGGCATACTGCAGGATGATATCTCATTCGTAAACTTACTTTCATCATATCCTGGTTAAACTATCAAAGCTGTTGGTTTATAGAAACGACTACCGTACAATGTAGGTCCTTCACAGCAGTATATGATAAATATTTTACAAACATAAAAAAACATATAACCTTAAGTTTTAACATATCTTTCTTTTTACACAATGCATTTCTCAAACAGATATCTATAGAGGAAAGGAAGTGATTAATTGCAATATTTGTTGTAAATCTGAATTTTTAAATCCAAGATAAGATGCTTTAAAGAAATATGTGACAGGAGAAGTGCGGGTTCGATCTGTCATTGAACTATAGTTCATATGGAGGATTTTCAACATCTATAAGCGATCCATACAGAGAGTTCGATGACCTTAATATGGTTTCCCCCTCTACAGTTAGCAGCGTTAAGTACGAAGATGTCATACAAGGCACTTAAGTTAAACACCAATCTGATATATCATCGAATTCCTGGAAGCCATGCGAAACGATCTTCAGATATATTTTGTTATGTATTCTAGTTTCTCTCGAGCAAGCCGTTGTATCATTTAAAAACAACAGAAATTAAAACATCAAAGATAAGTGATTATCACACGCGATCAACGTGATTTGTGATAATGGATACGCTTCCGGCTTTCTTTAAACAACTGATAGATCTGATTATAGCTCCAGCGCTGTCCTCCACATTAATGACTCTCCTTCTTTCATGTGGGTGATGACTAAGCTAATTGTTTGTGACTCCTGCATTGATTGACTATTGATAGGGTGTCAGTTAGATAGGTCATGTGACTACCTCAGTAATGGCTATTTTTTCATGTGTGGGAGGACATGCTCTCTTCTTGTCGAAGCCAATGATTGTGTTATATGTCGTTTTCATAGCGCCATTTCGTTTTCTAAAAATACCAAGATAATGAGAAAACAGCTTCGGATTTTTCTATTTATCCTTTGAAGACCTAACTTTGTTCAAAAGATACCGGTTGACGAAAATTAAAGGAAAGAGTTATGGTCGCCATTGCAAATTTATTAAAAAATACTCTATTTCTTCATGTGACACGACGTGTTAGATGCTTGTTAGGTTGCCAGTTGGTTCCGTTGATGTATACCTTGTTCTCATTTAACAAAGACGCTTAATCTTCATTAACACCTGGTCCTATCATATTTTGCCCTAGTCGTATAGAATTTGGGTGTGGATTATGATTATTTTGCCGAGTTGGTATTTTTTTTTATTTTTTATTAAGCCTTGTTCTCATTTAACAAAGACGTTATCTCTAAAATGCTTCTTTTTATTTCAAATCAGCAATGCAAATTGATATAGTGCTTAACCTGTTTTTCTATACCTCCCCTAGCGATATCAGAAATGTAAGCTCCCTGTACTGGTTTTACTTGTTCACTTTCAACATTCTATTAATATCAGAGATGTTTTGAATTACTTACTACAAATCTTATCATAGCTAACTGTCTACCCTTGCCCATCGGCAAATTTGGGTGTGGATTATGATTATTTTGCCGTGTACTATTCACAGCCGTTCAGTTTCAATGCATTTCCAAATTGACTTGTTTGCTCACAATATCAGGCATGCTAAGAGCTATGTACATTTAACTGTTTCTCTGTGAACGTTTTCTAATGTTTATCTGGGTTCATGAGAACTATTTAAAATAAAATATTATTCACATTAACAAAAGTCTTTATTGTTGTTTCATAGCGATTTTGGTGCAAATATTAAGGGCGTGTACATTCAGTTCTATATTTGAAATGTCTGAAATTTTCACTTTAGTATCAAAATAACTGTAGCGGTACATTTCTTTAATATGTCCATGTTCGATTTGCTGATAGGTCGACATATTAATAGAAAAATGAAAAAATGATATCAAGAAATATAATTACATGAATATCATTGTTAACTAGGTTAATGAAAACATGTGTTAGCTTACATAAGATTTTTAATGATTATGAAAATGTGAGTTAGTGCATTTCTGTATCGGAAATGCTGTAATTCTACTCGTACAATTACAATCTACTTGCAGTGAATGTAGAGTACCACAAGGAGATCATTAGTATACTATTGACGTCAAGGATGCAGAGCTGCGTGTGTGTGTGAATACTAGAATTGCAAGATCTTAATTATTCACATTAAAGTCTTTATTGTTGTTTCATAGCGAAATAATTCAATATTTCAGTCAAGATAATAGCATTATTTACAAGAAATATAATTACACTGTTAACTAGGTTAATGAAAACGTTGAGTTTAATGATTATGAAAATGTGAGTTAGTGCATTTCTGTATCGGAAATGCTGTAATTAGTTAGTGTGTTCGAGACCTATTTGGTTGACATGGTTCAAAGACGCCGAATTTATTTCTGTAGCAACCTTGATATTATAAGTGGTCATCTATTTTATCATACACTCCACCACGAAGATATTTGAATCGATTTGAAAATTGCATTTACGATTATATTTTTTTATTACTGCATGAAATCATGAAAATATGTCAATTTAAGCCTAAATTAGTTGATTATCAATATGACTTACTCTCCTGTACGTGAAGGTGAAGTGGTTTATCATGAAAAATCAACTTTCTCTATGATAAATTACATTGCATTATCAATTAAAACGCTGTTTCCATGCGAGCTCTGGGTGGCAGGTCAATAAATTAAAGTGATCAGATGGTATGGTGTCTTGGCACTTAACCTGAATTTCAGTTAATCCCCCTCCTTAAGTTCATCTCATTGTGAGTGCATTTGCAGTATAAAAGTAAGCATTCCTGGCGTGCAGCAGACATTTGCAAAATATCTACATAATTTCAAAGTTTTTTTCTCTGTTCAATTAGCAAAGAGTACACTTTCTTTGGAACCTACATACACAATGTACCAGTATACTGCAGCTGCAGTGATCGAGTGCAGAAATCTAGACATCAATCAAGATGTCATGACGTGTGTGCTAAGCATGGAATCTATCTGATTTGTTGTCAAGGTTAGCTGGAATGTCAGCTACCTTGGCAGTCTAGTTATCTCATCCATCGGTGTCTATATGTACTTATGGTGCCAGGAGGTTTCAACAACTTCACCCAGACCTTGAGGCAAACTTTTGGCAAGACAACCAGAACAGGACAATACCAGGAAACAGAAATGGTATTTCCGCAGTGCGTTGGGCATGCACTCTTCGCTTACAAAGGTAAGATCTACAGCAGAATTTTTATTCAATAAAATAATAATTTTAAATAATCGCTAAACATTTGAATTTGCTAAAAGAAAATCCTCATGAGCAATTTGCTAAGATGTAGGTTACAGGACGTGAACTTTATCACCTGTATGTACTTGTTTATCAATTATTGATAATACCATAGTATCCTGTAACGTAATTGATTTGCGCGTTCGAAAAATATGCTATATGAACAACATATAAGAAACTAAAATATGCATAAGCAATATTTTTCTATAATATCACCCTTATATAATATCTATGTTTGCAGTATGTTCTGATTATGAAAATCCGACTACAAAACCATTGTCTTCTATTTTGTTTTATATACTAAAAAAATAGAATACTTTCATTGTAATTATACAATTTTATGTAGTTAACGACATAAATTATATATGAATCAAGAAGAATGGATTTGTTTCCTGACAGACTACAAAATGACATGTTTTCAAGACTGTCATAATGTTGTCACGTCATCTTGTAATGTGATTGAGCATACAGGGTCTTGGAACAGACACAAAAACGTTGTGGAACGTTTTGAAAAAAATTGTTCACTTAGTGTATGGGCGAACTTTTGAAATCAAATATTTTATTATTTGATAATATGATTCTTTTTATATAATTATTGATTATATCCTATTTTCCTATTTAAGAATATAAAAAAACTTCAATCTCTTCTTTTTTCAGAAAAAAAAGCATGGCTATCATCAATTATATTTCACACCAGTTAGGAAATGTAAGGTCTTCAGTCTTTAGTTATAAGACGATCTTACGAATAACGATTCACTTATAAACTTTCCTTAGAGATAACAGACCACTGATGAACATAAATCTTAAAAATACGTGGAAGTAGATATTTAAAAAAAAAAGAGCGAAATAGCAAAACGAGAAGCGTATATTGTGAACATATGAGATGTAATACTGAACATTTATGCATGTATTAAATATTGTAATTCTAAATCAAAATCGACATCCGTGACATTCATGAGTAATTAAATCAGCATGCTATTGGTTTCATCACAATTATGTGTTAGATTAAAGATGACATATGTTTTCAACCTTTCTGTAAAGGATGGACGCCGAGAACCAGGAAGCTATGTCATGATGAGCAGTTTGTAGGCGTGATATATAATGCTTATTGTGACAATATACATTCGTTTTGTATTGGATTTGTATTCACAAGAAGTATGTGTTCGTACGGGTTTATCTAATTTTTTTGGTAAATGTACGCCAGGGAGATGTGGACGTCATCACAATGGCGTGGGATGCGACAATTACACATGTTTCAAAACGTGATCTTAACATAAAATATTTCAAACGGTGCCTTTAACTTTAGTCGAGAGGATTTCAAAGTTGCTGACCACGAGTATATGTCAATATCGATGTAGATAAATGCAACATAACATTATATCCTGTTTTTACTTTAAACAGTGGAAGATATATGTATAATAACGCACCTTAAAATGCGGTACAAAAGAGGTGTCGCAGCCACGAATACGACAATAGTGTTAATAATTAATTGAATTTATCTTTTGGTGCCTGAAATATGAATTTCATCATTACCTTCGGTTGTTACTTTTCGTTTTCTGACCAGATCAGCCTTGTTGCCAACAAGTATAACAGTCCTATCTGTGCCGATGTCATACAAAAGTTCATTCAGTATGACAGTAGCTGCATCAAAGGTGTCCCGATGGGCAATTGAGAATACCACGATGTAGGCATCAGCTCGGAAGTCCTCTAGATCGTACTGAAAGGAGAATGCAAACTGATTAAATATAGGTGCTGGTTAATACAAATGAGATCGTCATAGATCTCTTTGAGAAATATTCTATATCTTTGTGCGATATGAAGCTGGCTCGTTAGTTTGCTTGTTGGTTGTTGTATACTTTGTTCTTATTTTGAGAACGTGACATTACTAACTAAGACTGATCAAGCTTTACATGGCGGGTGTTGTCCACGAAGCAGAAGACGATAATTCGTATGGAACGCCTGGTCTTATTCTCTTAATATATATATATATATATATTTTGCGGGGTTTCTGGTTTGTTTTTTGGGGTTTTTTCTTCAATCTCGGTGAAAGTCTTTCTTCAGTTCATATCATGCCCTAGTTTTATTGAATTCTTATTGTTGTTTTATATATTTATTTATTGTTTGTAGTGGTATGGCGTATTTCGCGGATGTCACATTTCTTGTTCTCTTATTATTTCTAAAAGTAATAGATATTACAAATCGATTTCCTTTCAGCATAATAAATTACTATAGGAGATATATATTGTGAAGTAGTGCTTTTGTTCATGGCAGCATTAAAAATCTGTCTTATGTGACAATGATTCACTACGCCATATGTTTCCCTATACACATGAAATGAAAACGCATAGTATGCACGACATTAACTGCCACTGAGTAAATGAGTAAATAAGGATATGTTCTTCCCACGTCTTCGAAGAAGCTTCCCTGCACCTTTTATGTTTATTACAGCCCGATGATCAATGCTATCACCTCCTAGGATTCGCTGTAGGATATCCTCCGTCAACTCTGCACACTCTATATGATGGAAAGCGACAACAAAACACTAATCGATAAAACGAGGACAAAAAAGTCAGAAAGCGTCACACGAAAATCTTTGAAAGAAGGAGAAAATTAATCAGATCGTGTGTGCAGTAAAATTGAGTGTCTTCTGTTTCAATGAAGAAATCAAGGTCGTAAGAAGGACCGAGAGAGTAACTGAACAACCATTCAGTGAAGGGTGCGTCTATGTAGAAAAGCAAATTGTTGAATTAATAGCCTCCACTTCAAGTTTTTGTTTTAAATTTGTGCAGATTAATATCAATATCTTAACTTGTCAATATGCATTTTCAAATTACATTGAGGAGTTACTGGAAAATATAATTGTAGTACTGAAACAATGAACCTTAGTTTGCCGGAAAAAAAATCGACGTTATGAACATGCTTGCGGATTTTATTTCTTTTCTGCGTTTAGTGTTTTTGTTTGTTGTGTTTGTTTTGTTTTTTAACAGTTACTCAACGTTAAATAAAGAAACAGAAATAATGAATCTACTTTATATAGACATATATTACTTAACAGACTTGTCGTAGACTTGGCATTACTTGAGAACGTTTTGCAATGGTCTATGTGCCACTTTGAGGGATATGATCCATAGAATTCAATGAACCTATAGAAAAGCACGCCTCGATAGATAGTGTGCATCAATGAATACCTGACTATAGTCGAATATTAAGATTTGATTAAAGTAAAACAATTTCATTGCAGTTCAAATTGGGACCTAAAACCTAATAGAGGGTATACACAATCTATTCTGTTCCCCTAATTTTCCCTTCGACGAAAAAAGAGACAATCATGTCTGAGATGTGATCAACAACAAATTGAACAAATGATCGACCTAAATAAACTGGGTCTCAAAAAGTAATGAAGACATTTAATTGATAGTTTTGTCTTCAATTACAACGTCCCTTGGAGGTGTACCGATACAGAGTAAGAATATTGATCCCTGTATGAATGAGGTATTGCCAATATTCAGAATTGTTAAACAAACATAAACTTCCGCTGACTACGTGTAGTACAATTCACGCCCTTGGTCTTTTCGCCTGATTTTGATAGATTGGAGTGTTACAAACTGAAGATAATCCCCACAGGATGTCTGGCACAGTGGGCTTCCCGCTGTCCCCTCCGTCTACAAACATCGTGATCGTGCAAAGTCCAGTCACCAACCACCTTCATGTGGAGACTAATATTTGTTTGGGGACCACAATGCAGAAACATATGGAAATAGCAGATGATAATTACTATATAATGTCGTTACATTCTCTGATTTAAGAATACCAGAGAAACCAGGGGAACCATAATATCAAAGATCAGAGGAAAATACCACAATCGTGCGAAGACCATATTAAAGCGTGTTTGTCGTAAGGAAACAAACGAGTATCGCCTGAAAGTCTGTATATATCATTTTGAAAGTGAAGAAGTTCTCGATAATGTGTTACAAACACACCAGCTCCTAGGACATCACAGTGTTAAGGACATAATACAGTTTAATGATGCAAATAATTTACCAAAAAATTGAAAACAGACTGATGTACATCACGTAAAAAGCCTCAGTCATAGTTCCTTGTAGGCGTAAATCGGTGACAGTGGTTTACAAAATAGAGCCAACTGTTATATCGATAATAAAATTAAGATATGTTGTTTAAATTTGATACTGTAATTCCAAATTATTTGACGTATTGTAAAACGTAGAAAATTTCTCTTTACGTTAAAAGAAAACAGTATATTTCACCACAGAGCAAGACAAGTATTTTCTAATATTATATTCTCTAATGCATTAAATTCGCTTGTTTCAACATCATATAAGATAAAAAAAATTAGTAGAAGCGTAGATTTATAGTTCACATCAAACATATGCAGTCTGTTTCCAAAGAGATTAAATATGATATCGGCTGAGCACACCGGCAATGTAATAAAATATATAGTTGATTTTATCAATCATTCGGCGACAAGTATAGAACAGTATGGACTTTTACATACGCATTCATACGAGTATTTACAAGAAATAAAAACCAAATAAAATTGACCACAGTGTGGCCTTTCATTCGTATTATTTGTACAGAAATCACAGATACGCCAAACATACATCAGCCCTATCTATTGATATCTAGCCTGGCTTTATATCTACCATCGGGTTCCTGTTTCCTTCTGACTATCAAATTACCCGCACTGAGATGTTTATATTTACAAACACGATCTTTTACACACGCTGTTGTTTATTATGGTCACGTGCGTTTTGACGTTTCTTCCTTCAGCTATCCAACGGCTGCTATCAGTCATCGGGAATATTATACCAAACAACGGGAGAACCCTACAAACAATCATTTTATATTTGTATCGCATCACTCATTGAGTAAGTGACAGTCAGGCCCCGGTCCGACATCCTCATAATATGAAAATTCAATTCATCTTCATATGATTGCTGCTTAAAAAATCACTTGAAAAAAAGAATTTAAGAAACAGCTGTTTATATGTTATACGGGGGGTCTCACGTTTAGTTTGCCGAATACTTACTTCCGGGTCCAATCCATCTATACATTCTAATGTTGACTCCTCGCCGTTGAGAAGAACAGATACCGTGTTTTCCTCCTCGTCCCTATCTGTAAAACAGAGCATACATTTTATAGCCATGAACTCTTGGACTGTAAGATCCTCTCGAGTAACAGACAAATGAAGCTGATACAAAATACAATCAAAGATACAAGAAGAAAAAAAGAAATAGCAACAGGCCAGATAATTAGAGCGAAATCCAGATCCGACAGCAAGACGTTCCGATCTATTTTTAGTTAAACTTGAAGAAAAGCTGTTCTGTGAACCTGAAGATGGAAGCCAGGAACTGTAACAAGCCAAGTCATTAAAACGTTTTGCTCTATGACTAAAACAAACACGAAACCTCAGCTGCAATATCGCACGAAAAGTCTCACAATGAGAACAAATCGAAAAGACATATGGCCAAAATGAGAATAGTGTTGGAACCTGCCGTGATTATGGATTGATTCTCTGTCCGTTGTCTACGCGATAAATTTATTGGCTAATTTATCTGCACTTAAGATCACATTAGCCATAAGGTTAGCAGATAGTAACACGTGCGTGCAATCTCGTGCTCACGTGCTGCCACATTGATATGTTTATAGTGCTGCTGCTCAACGTGATCTATACAATATATACCTAAGACAATTCCATCAGACCCTCTTGTTCTCCGAAAATAAAGAAGAAAATGCCACATATAAACTACAGATTCACGCAGAATGCGAGTGTGATTATGCATATGTGGACTCCTCGCACCTGCATGTGTATTTTGTCTATAGCACGATGGTGTCATGTGTAATTTGTATTTCATAAAGTTGAATCCAGATTATCAATATGCATGAATTTCATGTGTACCATACACGGAGTTTATGATATTGTGTCCAGACATCAAAAAGCACTTGGTTCATCGACACTTCAAATGAAGGTCATAGAGGCTTCCCGTAGAAATTATCTTCACTGGTTTGTCTTTATACAAACTTGTTTGTTTCACCCTATTAAGATACTCATTAGTTTTAAATACTTCTGATTACGCCGTGATCAATGTAATTATCAACCTCTGAAAAAGAAACAACGATAGTACACAAAATCCTCAAAACTGAAACGATATGGAAATCTTTTCGCTAATAGGGACGTCAAAGTAATTGGTATTTTGAGTTGTTTCATTTGCAGTCAACATGACCACAATCAACACACACTGAAAAAGAAATAAACATTTCTCGTCTCATCGCTTCAGAAAATCTTTAAGAGTCCAACCACTTGAGAAACTTGAAGAGCACTCTACTGTAGTTATGAGTACAGGTAATCCCACCCCAGACCAGGTCATTTGATGTTGTAGAAGGCGAAGATAAACGATAACTCGGAGGATATTATCAAATGTTTACTTCCTGGATGTTATTCAAGCTTTAGAGAATTAAATCAAGATATCGTGTTAAAAACTTAACTAAACAATACTTTCTTTTATAAGTTAGGATTTTAACATTTAACCTCGTATAGTGATGTAATGATTAAATACATCCTTCTAAAATATTTTATATAACTTGATAATATCCTAAGCGATAAAGTTGCCTATACTCCACTGCTAGGGTATTGGTGCACGTGTAGAGAAGTATACCACCCCCTTGCCATCCCCAGCAGTACTAATGTACCCAGTGGAACAGAATTCAGTGTCGGTTAGGGTTAGAAAGATAACTAACACCGAAAGCGTCCACCACATACCAGTTTTCACAGCCAAGTCTTAGTTAAAATGTCCGACCTACGTCACGTGTACCATTGAAGTACACAACACCTTCCTGTATAAAAATCAGTACACACAACACTGTTAAGTACCAGTTTCAACACTCATCTGAAGTTTCTTAAGATTTTATGCATGTTTTAAATAAATAAATTTAAAAAAAAAATCAATATGTCAACTGAATCTTAATTCAAAATTTGTGAAACGAGGACAGAATATGAAAAAAATCAATAGTTATACCGAGACCCTTAAATAAGATTTAGACCAGGTGTTTCGGAAGAGTAAAAGTATTCTGCATTGTAATTCTTTTGTTCATATTTTGCCCTAGTTTTATTGAATTTTAGGTTGGATCAAGAATATGTTGATATATTGGTATTTTCTTGTTTTTTGTTATGTACTGTGCTGACTAATTGAATTTATTTCTAGTTACTGTAGATATATACATCACTATTCAACTTCTGACTGTTTAGGTATTCAATAAAGAACACACATATATGATAACTTTATCCCACACAGGTGAACCACGTGACCTTATCCATGATGATGTCAAGCTCCATCACATGAACATAATAGATTATTTCAAAAGTTCCTTATGAAATGACTGCAGTGTTCTTTACTCTTAATGTATACCTACAGGTGTACTTTCCAAGCCTTGACTTTACAAATAGTATTTATGTATGTCACACATATATATATATTGTGATACATGTAAACACACCACCAAATTTCCTTAATCAACATCATATTTACGAAATATTCGTGTAAGAGATGGAAGAAAAATAGTCAACCATATCTGTTAGTAGGATAATGAATGTTCAACCCTCGGATATAGAATTTGGGTTCAGACCCTCGTCAAAGCCTCGGTTCTTACCTAAATACCATCCGTCTGATATTAAAACCCATTATCCCGAATACCATACTTTATTAATGTATTGATATGGAGTAGTTATTTATATTCTGTAATTGAAGTACTAAATGCTTAATGAATATCCGACCAGTATGTCATGGTGTTAACACGGCAAAACACATTATTCAATAACTTTGTTCCATGCCAGCAGCTTGCAAAACCTCAAGCAGAATGACTAACCCTCTCCTTTAACTATACGACTATGTAACATAGAGAAATTCTTGTTATGATGTTTATTTTCAAACTCATAAATTCTGATAGAGGGTATTATCACAATGTTTTTATGTATTTATAAATGTCATTACACATAATATAGAGTTATTTACATTTAATACAATACCGATGTAATATAGCCGGTAAATTTCCGAGTTTTCCACGAATGCAGTTGCTTAAGCCATTTACAGTACATTTCTAAAATACACAGCTTCGTAAATGGTTAAAACACCAAGAGACATTCATTTTATTTAAGTTGCTCTGTGTAGAACGATATTTTAACCCATCATCCACTTTTTCTCATAGATCAATTGTCATTCATTCTCTATGTATGAAAACTTTCTTTTCATGTGTGATTTTTTTCCTTTTTATCAGATTCTTCAAAATTTCGTCAAATTACATTTCGCTCTATGTGTTAACACTTCAAATTGTGAACTTCTAAAACGATGGAAAGTCCTATATAAATTAACTCATGAATTTATTGAATAATTATTCGAATAAATGAAATAAAATTTATCTTAACAGTCAATACATGTAGAGTCGTAAATTCTAAGCCAGGGATATGAACTAAATGAAACAAGTTCATCCCGGTACATTGTTTATATACTGAAGCAAAACACGTGAAATCAGTTTCTTGTTGTTACATGTAGCCTTCAGAAGCTAACCCATATCGAAACATATTCTCGTTTGACGGGACTCTTTGTTCCTGTAGTCCTTTCCAGTCAAAGGGTCCGCAGAACGCTTTCCACAGCGGTTCACAAATACATTCTTTTCCTGAACGTGCTGGTAAACAAGTGATGTCAGCCTTACATCAGGATAGAATAGAGATACATGAAATGAAAAACGACCTCCGGTGTCGAAACTTGTTAAACATAAATACCTTGATGTTTTTTCTGTCAGAGATATATTGGAATCCAATAATATTTGTTTTCAATTACCGTAACCTCATCGATACCGCTCCCGAACTAGATACAGGATGTTCTCATTATATATATTGCTCGCTTTTTTTCCAAAAGAGTTCTAAATGGACTTAAAAGTCTTGAATGGAAATTGTAGCTTTGTTGATAAGTTAAGTTTTCAGAACACCAGTTCCTTGCAATATGTTTACTCTCACCGCTGCCAGAGTGTTTGGTATCGCTTCGAAAAAAAAACTTATGCAGGAGATCTGAGGTGACAATTCATTCTCAAATTACAGAAATTGTATACATTTTTATAGCTGGTTAAAAAAAAATGTTTGGTGTGTGTTTTTATGCACTAACATTTCGCAAGAATAGAGTTGAGGTAAAATTGATATTTCTTTTTGGTGGAAAAAATATTTACTTGCATTTGAATAAAGAAAATAATTGATCACGTTTTTAACCTCCTTTTTCAATACTATTTACACTAATCACAATACCAGTTTTCTACTAGTCACTTAATTTACTAAAAGCTTAACAACATGAAAAAAACGAGCATGTGAACTAATGAAAATTCGAGGTCTAATATCTTCCCAATCTAAGCAAGTACATGAAGGTTTCGTTTGATGGAGATAATAGACTTAATTATAGTAATATACACCAAGGTTACGTATTAGCGTCTAGGTCCTGTTAAATAACAAAGGTGCACAGGTGCAAAAGCCGATTTAACGATACAATTATATACTGAATTATCGGTAAAACTACATGATTCTTGACAGACACCATATGCAAAATTGTCTTTGGTTTCCTAAGATATAACTTGGTAATGTTCATTAGTTAATACGCGTGTACGGTGTGATAGGTAAAGACATTTATCTCCGTAAATTGGTTAACAACAATGACGTAAACGAGACTGAGGCCTTTTCTTCCCATGACGATTCCCCACTCCCCTCCTGAGCTGCGATTGAATTGGAGAAGAGGCTTTGTGGATCTGGTCTGTCAGAGAGACCAGTCTCAATGGCTGCCAAGCGACGAGTGAGAGGAACCAGCAGCACCAAAGTTCTATTTTAGTTCTAACGAGGGGCACATATTCGTCAGCTCATTTACAGGTCGTTTTTTCGTATTCATCGAGGGTCTGTGTTTCACTGCTTCCTAAAAATCCTGGTATGTGACCCGCTAGAATGTACCATTGTCCGTAGATCTTGACCTTATTTCAAGATCCGTCTTATTTGATAATTAAGGAGGCCGTAAATTTATACTCCAGACACTAATATATGATGAAGCTAATTTGGTGAGAAAATTCTATGTTTGTTTTTGTTTGATTAACTATGTGTTTGATACTGTATTCCATTATTTTCAAGACGACTTTCAAATACGTGACAAAATGCATTCAGCATTAGGCGTAGATTAATCCTTCGCTTTTTATGATGTTTACCAATCGTCACCGAAATTCCTCATTAACTATCTTTTATACATCGCTATTTTTATCAACCATTTGTAAACGTTGCTATTGTTTATCAACTGATGGTAAGCGTCACTATTATTTACCAACTGTTTTGTGTACGTCGCTATTATTTATCAACCATTTGTGTACGTCGTTATTGTTTATCAACCGTTTGTGTACGTCGTTATTGTTTATCAACCGTTTGTGTACGTCGTTATTGTTTAGTAACCGTTTGTGTACGTCGCTATTGTTATCAACCGTTTGTGTACGTCGGTATTGTTTATCAACCGTTTGTGTACGTCGCTATTGTTTATCAACTGTTTGTGTAGGTCGCTTTTGTTTATCAACCGTTTGTGTACGTCGCTATTGTTTATCAACCGTTTGTGTCCGTCGTTATTGTTTATCAACCGTTTGTGTACGTCGCTATTGTTTATCAACCGTTTGTGTAGGTCGCTTTTGTTTATCAACCGTTTGTGTACGTCGCTATTGTTTATTAACCGTTTGTGTACGTCGGTATTGTTTATCAACCGTTTGTGTACGTCGCTTTTGTTTACCAACCGTCTGTGTACGTCGCTATTATTTATCAACCATTTGTGTGCGTCGTTATTGTTTATCAACCGTTTGTGTACGTCGTTATTGTTTAGTAACCGTTTGTGTGCGTCGCTATTTTTATCAACCGTTTGTGTACGTCGGTATTGTTTATCAACCGTTTGTGTACGTCGCTATTGTTTATCAACCGTTTGTGTACGTCGCTTTTGTTTAGTAACCGTTTGTGTGCGTCGCTATTGTTATCAACCGTTTGTGTACGTCGGTATTGTTTATCAACCGTTTGTGTACGTCGCTATTGTTTATCAACCGTTTGTGTACGTCGCTTTTGTTTATCAACCGTTTGTGTACGTCGCTATTGTTTATCAACCGTTTGTGTAGGTCGCTTTTGTTTATCAACCGTTTGTGTACGTCGCTATTGTTTATCAACCGTTTGTGTCCGTCGTTATTGTTTATCAACCGTTTGTGTAGGTCGCTTTTGTTTATCAACCATTTGTGTACGTCGCTATTGTTTATCAACCGTTTGTGTACGTCGCTATTGTTTATCAACCGTTTGTGTACGTCGCTTTTGTTTATCAACCGTTTGTGTACGTCGCTATTGTTTATCAACCGTTTGTGTACGTCGCTATTGTTTATCAACCGTTTGTGTCCGTCGTTATTGTTTATCAACCGTTTTGTACGTCGCTATTGTTTATCAGCTGATGATAAGCGTCGCTATTGTTTACCAACCGTTTGTAAACGTCGCTGTTGTTTACCAACCGTTTATGTGCTTCGCTATTGTTTACCAACCGTTTGTGAACGTCGCTATTGTTTATCAACCGTTTGTGTACGTCGCTGTAGTTTATCAACTTCGTTAAGGAAATATCGATCCATGTTGCAATTTTTATTTAACATTTTTATATGTTGCGTTTGGTAAACATATTTGTGTACGACTCTGTTTTTTATCAATCTTTACATGTTTCCGATGTTTGTTTGTGTTTACCACCATAGCTGTACTTCCTTTGTGCTAACTAACCATAAGCATATGTTGCTAACATTTACCAGCCATTGATATCTTAGCAGCGTTTACGTATCCTCAACTCCTGTCCATGTAATTCCCTAACCTGGATTTTTGTCATCAACACTAACCAATCATACTTTTTCAATAGCGTTGGCTAACATTTAGTGTTTGTCAAAAAAAATTACTAACGTCTTACATGTATGATCGGAATAGTTAGCGGCCACAACCCTTTCTCTCAGTACACTTAATAGATTTGATATGTATAAATGTATATATAGCTTCTGCACTAATTAGACAGTTCGCTCTATCTAAAATTACTTGCACTGAAGCAATCATGGGCACATCGAGATTATTAGTAAAATGTTGTTGTGATGTCGAAAACCCATTAAGAAGTGTATATCTGGGAAAGAGGAAACTATAATCTTAAACCAAAATAGCTTTCTTAACCAGTACCATTGTCTTTGATACGGTAAATATGTAATGCATTGATATTTGGCAATTTTCCAGTTAAAGTACACGTATCCTACAGTCTGTCTCAGGTGCAAATTTAGGCAATGCTTCGCAATTAATTATGTATATATGTGTACTGCATTATATTCCAACACAACTGTTCTGGTTTAAAGTACACCTACACTAATCGTAAGGACGGTAGAGAAGAACCACAATGAGGTGATACACTGCCAGCGGTATGTTAAAACATCATTTGTCAAAAACAACAAAAAATATATAAAAATGCTAACGAAGACTCGATCCAATCTTGAAATCGACAGCACCAGTCCTAATAAGAACAAGAAAAATATCTAGACGTAAACTCTTAAAAACTTCCCCTTGTAACATTGATTTTATAGTGCTTTCAAGTAGGGCTGCGTATTGACAGACAAATCCACGACACGGGGTTTAAATGAAGATTAACCGGATGTATCACATGCGTTATAGTGATTTCATAAGGAAAAAGTCGATTTACTTATGCGATATCAAGCCGGAAGTGTTCGAGGCTTCTCAGTTCGCGTGGCGGTTTCATTGTTGTTTACCTTGTTCTCATTAGGGAACGTGACATTACTTACTTCAGGCTGACCAAGATTTACATGGGTGTCGTCATTGAAGCAGAAGATGCTTCCGGAACTCCTGGTCTTATTCTCCTTAAAATTTTTGCAGGAGTCCCCTTGGATTAGTCGTAGTTTCATTGAAGTTAATTTTGTTTATTTATATATTGGTATTTTATTTGTGTACATTGCATCTTATCATTATTTTTTCCTGATAAATAATGTGTCCAGATGTTTCTACTTCATTCTTATTTGAAACGCGTGATACAGAGGCAGTGATAGAAACCAGTTCCCTTAACCTGTGAAAGTAATCATAGCCCTATTGCTAACTCCACTAGGCCTAGACTTTATCTCGGTACAACCACGCCTAGCTGAACACGTCCGTACGGACCTATCAGTGCAGAAGATTGTACAACAGTATTTAGCCTGGATTTCACCGCAGAACTACAATTGTTTTTATAGGTATTGACCTTGACCTAAATAGATTAGAAACATCTGAGGTTTTCTAATTACGTGTTGACCTAAATAGTTATGAGAATACTACACAATTATTTTATTAATAATATCATTGAAATTGCTTACGACATGGAGAAAAAAAACGCAATGCAACTTTGAATCGAATACAGGACAAAGTAAACCAAAAATTCCTGCAAACAATCTGTTTTATTTCTTAATAAGAAAGGGAAATGATTAGAACGACTTTACTGTAAGTAGAACGCCTCATCAGAGGTGGACTGCGGACTCTGTAACAATGTTTCAGTAAGTGTAAGTTATGAGGATATCAACGTTTATGCTCTGAAACAACTAACCTCGTGGCACGGTTTCCTCGTTAAAGACAGGAAGGGAAGAATGTTCTTTTTGTGTAGTAATAAATGTCATGTATCTACAAACATTCCGATCGCTGTTCTTCTGTACGCGAAATGAACGTTTGCTCACAAAGTATACCTTAAAACTAGAACCGAAAAATAAACAGAATTCTTTAATACGACGGTGCCATTGTGTCTGAGCTGAGGTATTTATTGGAAATTCATTTAAGTCTTTATGTTTTCGTTGTTACTATATTCTGATTTGATAGCAATTAACTCTAATTCGGTATTTTCAATTTTCCAGTTTTTTTATGCAAAGTACATTAGATGCATGCCTACAGTTACACTATAAGAATGAATACCCGAGGTGGTTACATCTAGTAAAAATCACAACGATTATCGATGAAGGTTTTTGGCTAAAGTTTGAAGTGGTAGATTCAAATACATTTATAATATGTATCATATTTTGAGTGTAATACAATTTTAATATTATATTTACAATGTTTTCATACGTACCCATAGAATTGTCGAAAGCAACATATTCAGACGTCATGAACTGTTGTGTGATTGAGGACTTTCCGACCCCTGTGGCGCCTAGGACAAGCACCTTAAAATAAGAGGCGTTGCCGGAGATTGACGTCTGCGTAGTAACACGTGGTGTCATGAGCGGGAAAGGTCGCGTGCTGCCACCACCATGGCCGACATTGTCACGTGAATGTGTGATATTGGTACTGCCAGAATTACGACCTCCCTTCTTCCTGAAGGAATCACCTCTGTTGACTACTCCTTTCGAAGTCGTTTTGAATGATCTAACTCGCCTTATGGAACTGTCTTTGCCTTCTCGTCCATCACGAACATCGTCAAACGACACAGACAGGTAACTAGGTTGTGTTCCGGAAGTTACACTTCCACGTCTGCTACTGTCATCCTTTACTTGACGAGATTCCGACACAGTCTGACGTGACTTTAACTCACCAGCGACCTTGAAAGATCCTGCACGAACATGTGACACATGATTTCCAGGTAGCAAGTGACTGGATGAATGATATCCTGGTTGCAGCCCAGATGACTGGCTGCTAAGATGTCCAGCGGAAGGATATCCTGGCTGTAAATGTCCGGAGGAATCCGTCATTGAATCTTCGGTCAGCATATGTCTATGATGAGAACGCGTATAATTTTTCTGACTTTTTACAGGTTTTTTAGATAAATTTTCACTGCTCCTTTCAACAGTCATGTTATTTGATAGTGCTGACAAAATGAAGATATTTCCTTGCTATCGTACACAATTTACTAATTGTATTAACGTTTTCAATTACACAGCATTACTTGATGTTATAACGTCGATTTTGATGATAAAGTGGTATCTCGCACGTAAGCCATAATTAAAGTTACTTTTCAATGTTTTGTGAAGTAGAAAATATCCCGTATGAGAGTGCGATGCACGCGCGGCTACTCTCCGTATCAAATAGCGGTGTTAGCCCTTCCGACAGTCTACCAACATCCAAACCACAAGATCCCCTTATAAACAAACTCTCGCACGTAAACCACGTGCAATGTACGTTGTGGCCGGTTTAGAGTGTTAGTCATACCATCTCTATCTCCTCATCCTCCTGTGCTTTAACGCACGCGTCAGTGTGTGGTCGCTTATACCTCTCAACATTTTCTATTCTGAATAACTTCCCAGAGAATTGTCGAATTCAAAACATCTTAAAATGTCTACAACTTTGTATACTTGATACGAAAGTGCCAAAACCTTCTAGCAATCCCAATTTCTTCCAAGTGTTCGAATTTCAACAACTTTTCCTTCCAAGTGATCGTGCCAAGAGTCATTAGACTTCATAATCTAACTAGGAAGTGATACACGAAACTTGTTTATGGTTAAGAAAAGCTATAAATCAAAACAGAATGTACTGATTCCAACATCTTTCCTTAATATAACCACTTCTTTCTTTTTATATTTTGTAACTGGCATTGTCTCAAATAAAACAACATTGATATCTAAATCGTTTCAATCGGAAACTTGATAGCAAAAAGAAAAACAATGAATTTCATAACATAGGGATCTCCTACATAGCATGTTTAAAGGATTTAAATCACATTTGTACTATTTTGTGCACTAATGATTGACAGCCTGTTGTGTTCCCTAATGTTCTCTTAACTTGGGATTTACACGAATATTTGTAAGATATTTCAGATAAGATCCATTTTTTTAAAATCACCACTGTTCAAGAGTAATCACCAACTACGAAATATTTTCTGTTTTAGACGCAACCAAATATTTAGTCGAATATTTTATAATTGTTACTGAAAACGTAACTAATTTGGAGGTTATCTTATTTTCGCGCTTTGTCTGTGTTCCGCTAAAATATGATTGCACTAATTGTATTTTCTATATGTTTCAAAATGTTGATTTACAAAGCAATTATTTTAGAAATCCTAATTCGTCATTGCGTTACTTTAAAAAAAGAAGAAAAAAATACGCTCTAAAATTTTATTGCGCGAAGTTCAGTACCTTTCAGTATATTTCTTTCAATTCAACGATAGTAACATGCAATCTGGCACACTTTCATCCAATTAAAAGAGCGAAGCGTCAAACATAGCTACTGTATACCATAGCATAACATCTTGTTTATATGAGATGAATTTATCACTCTGGGTTCTAAGCATGTGTCGTCCAGAGACTTTGCACTTTTAACAGACCACCCCGAGTTATCATACTGTGTATTATAGTGCATATCTTAGTCAAAGAGTATTACGCAATGTTTTATTTAGAAAACGGAGGGTGTACACAGCTCGTGTTACCGTCTCTCTAGGAAGTCCTCACGCGGCTGCCACTCCAGTCACCTTTGCGTTAAACGGAATCTGATTGGAAAGCTGTCTGTCTGTTGTCAGAAACAATTGGTAACGAACAGAGGCATTACGTAAACAATCATATATTGTCCTGTTACTTCATTCTCAGAAACGCACGATACTGTATAGAACTAGACAAGTTTACTAGGGGTTGTACTCGTTCATTTTCAAAAACAATATTACCGGACGTGTTTTGTCGGAATTATGCCGATTACATTAAGATGTCGGCCACCGCTTGTCCGATGTCAAAGTCGATGTTGTTGATAAAGTGCACTGTTTCTATTTATGAGAACTTGAAATGGGAGAAGGACAATACAACTTAACTAGAGACAAATTATAATTATGTTCGGTAGAGCAGGGAACAAGTCTTCAGTTCTGTAAGCCTTGTACGTTACTGTTTAATATCAAAGTGTCCTTTTAAGTTTATTTTGTTTTTTATTTACAAACGTGACATTTCTTACATATGGATAGACCAAAATTTATAAAATGGATTCCCTCAGCTAAGCATAAGACGCTTACTCTTCCGGAACTTCTTGCTTATTCTTCCCTCACATTTTCAATAGCATCCTTGTATTTTTTCTTTTGATCATATTTTGATCTAGTTACATGATTTCGAGTTTTAGATAAAAATTCAGAAATATGTTGATACGTGTATCTTTTTGTTTAAAGAACGAACGGGTGAATATTAATATTAATTTATTTATATATAATTATTTCATATTTACATATTTATTTTCCTATTTTATAACTATCAAAAGCAACAGATGCATGCACGAAGATGTATTTTTTCATGTGGTGTCTTTACATCAAGAGTTTTAGGACGGAAGCATTGCAGATCGTGGGTTGAGTTTATGACTTTGAAATGCATCTCTCATCTTTCAAAGATCATTATCGATAGTGGGTAAAATATATGATGCATTGATGATGCTGCGAAGAGATGTTTATTTAATGAACTGATTCACTGGAGTAGTCTCAAATTCATCTCACTGTTCCGATAATAAAATCCCCGCAGCGTAATTTTAATACCGCTTTTATTTATTTACAAACTTGTGATAAAAGAAATATATCTTAAGTGTTATGATTTCACCGTTAGTAAACTTCATAAAAGTTATATTTGTCTCTTGTGTCTATATTCCATAGAAAAACAACACAGGGCGTAAATGTATACGGGTTCAAACAAGAAGTAACGCGGACTTGACTGTAAAACTATCGCCGTGTGTTTTATAACGATACGCACCTGTATGCTCACACATTAACATCCTTCACAGAGTGAATCAATTATTTCCAAAAGTCAAATAACATTTAAACTGTTCCTGATTCTAGACAGGAAGGTTCACAGGTACATTTTATATCGAAAATACATTTTTGATGTAAAAAGTGATGAAAGGCTCCCGAATTACGCAACAATTTTGATGTTTATCGATACAAGTACAAATTACAAAGGGAAGTGTTTATATTGGATACAAAAGTATATGTAAACTTATATGACGAGTCCCTGTCTCACAAAAAAACTTTGGCCTCTCATTTAACACTGCTATTGGACTTTTAATTCCCAATGTTTGCCGTAATCTGCATCCAACATTTTAATTCATTCGAATAGTGACACAGTTCAGAATATACATATGTACTTGACGTTGTTTTAAATCATCTAAAATATGAAAATTACTTATAAAATCATGGAACTGTTCCATCATTCTGTCTAAGTACGGGAAGTATAATCTTATAACAATGCAATATTACATCATTAGATGTCAACAACGATGTAATGTTACATCGTTAGATATCAATAATGATGTAATGTTACATCATTAGATGTCAATAACGATGTAATGTTGCATCATTAGATGTCAATAACGTTGTAATATTACATCATTAGATGTCAAAAACGATGTAATGTTACATCAATAGATGTCAATAACGATGTAATGTTACATCATTAGATGTCAATAACGATGTAATGTTACATCATTAGATGTCAAAAACGATGTAATGTTACATCATTAGATGTCAATAACGATGTTATGTTACATCATTAGATGTCAATAACGATGTAATGTTACATCATTAGATGTCAATAACGATGTTATGTTACATCATTAGATGTCAATAACGTTGTAATGTTGCATCATTAGATGTCAATAACGTTGTAATGTTACATCATTAGATGTCAATAACGTTGTAATATTACATCATTAGATGTCAATAACGTTGTAATGTTACATCATTAGATGTCAATAACGATGTTATGTTACATCATTAGATGTCAATAACGATGTCATGTTACATCATTAGATGTCAATAACGATGTCATGTTACATCATTAGATGTCAATAACGATGTAATGTTACATCATTAGATATCAATAACGTTGTAATGTTACATCATTAGATGTCAATAACGTTGTAATGTTACATCATTAGATGTCAATAACGTTGTAATGTTACATCATTAGATGTCAATAACGATGTAATGTTACATCGTTAGATATCAATAACGATGTTATGTTACATCATTAGATATCAATAAAGATGTAATGTTACATCATTAGATGTCAATAACGATGTTATGTTACATCATTAGATGTCAATAACGTTGTAATGTTGCATCATTAGATGTCAATAACGTTGTAATATTACATCATTAGATGTCAATAACGTTGTAATGTTACATCATTAGATGTCAATAACGATGTTATGTTACATCCTTAGATGTCAATAACGATGTAATGTTACATCATTAGATGTCAATAACGTTGTAATGTTACATCATTAGATGTCAATAACGTTGTAATGTTACATCATTAGATGCCAATAACGATGTAATGTTACATCATTAGATGTCAATAACGATGTAATATTACATCATTAGATGTCAATAACGTTGTAATGTTGCATCATTAGATGTCAATAACGTTGTAATATTACATCATTAGATGCCAAAAACGATGTAATGTTACATCAATAGATGTCAATAACGATGTAATGTTACATCATTATATGTCAATAACGATGTAATATTACATCATTAGATGTCAATAACGTTGTAATGTTGCATCATTAGATGTCAATAACGATGTAATGTTACATCATTAGATGTCAATAACGTTGTTATGTTACATCATTAGATGTCAATAACGATGTAATGTTACATCATTAGATGTCAATAACGATGTAATGTTACATCATTAGATGTCAATAACGATGTTATGTTACATCTGTAGATGTCAATAACGATATAATATTACATCTGTAGATGGCAATAATAATGTATAGTTACATCATATGACTTTTGAAGAATATCTTTTGGAAACACTTTTACTCCAACGATGTTGAATAGGGTTGATCCTAAACCATTTTAGGATTTCGAGCGCCATGCTGCGGCCATGGCACATGAAAAGATCACGATTCAGCGGTCATGGCGTTGTTTACTTGTGGTCGTGAAATTGAGTTCTCCATGCTTGCGGGGGCACGATCGTTGCCCCTTTTTTCACACCATGCACTTGTTAGTAAATTACTAGAACGGAAACTATAAAGCGTTGTGTTCTGTATTGTCAATGTAGCAAATACA